TGGCCGGAGCGCAGCGCGAGCCCAGGAGCGGCCGGGGCCGGGCAGGTCAGTGCGCACCGGGCCCGGGGGTCTGTGGGGGCACCGGGCCCTGGGGTCTTTGGGGGCACCGGGCCCTGGGGTCTTTGGGGGCACCGGGCCCGGGGGTCTGTGGGGGCACCGGGCCTTCTCTGGCAGAAGGCTCGCTGTGGTTGTGATGCGGGGCTCGTTAGGCCAAGGAAGCGCTGTGGATGGTCTCTGTGGCGGAGGCCGCTCCACCTGGCTCCCCGCGCTGCCGTCCCGGTTACGCGGGAAGGGCTGTGGGATGTGAGCAGTTTTCGGTGGAGCCTACAGGGCCTGGGTAACTCCTGCCCAGGGCTGTGCTGCCGATAAAGCTGTGGCGGTTGTGTCCCTTAAAAACAAGCTAATAGTGTAAAGCCTGGAAGTGAAAGGTTGAGATCTACAGAGAGGAAAGTTTCCATTTATTTTTTTTAGGTGTTAGGGTTTGTGTTTTAGCTTTTATGTAAGCTGCTAGCCTTACTGTGTGGTTTGGAGCTCTTTCTATCTTTTGTTGTGCTGCCTGGCAGCACCACGGGCTGTGTGTGTGCTGTGGCCGTGCTCTGCTCTGTGGGTCTCTGGGGGTCCCCTTCTTTTAGGGTGTCTATAGCTCTAAATTCTATTGCCACGGTTAGCAGGCTTATAATAACGCATGCTAGGACACGAGTACTTTTTAGTGCCTGTAGCCGGACAGTATAGTTGTTCATACCAAAATAACCTCAGTATTTACAGAGCTATGTGACTCCAGGTAGAGGCAGATAAACAGTCCGCATCTTGGGCTTTGCGCCCTATAATGGCTTGAATTTCACTGTTCCGACCTCTGGGCTGTGTGAATACTTATAGTTCTGGCTTTGTGTACACAGCTTAATGTTTGCCTTTTGCTTCTTAAGGAAAAAGGTACAGAATGAGAGTATAATCTTGACAAATCTCGCTTTATGCTTAGCTTTAAAGCTACTTAAATGTCAGCCATCTAACAAATATGTTTCCGTTAAAGAACTGATAAGAGTTTTGCAGTGTGGCATTGTGTAGCTGATGAATAAGACTTCCAGATCGTGAAGGCACAGGTATGTTTCTTTCCAGCTGGAGCTTATTCACAAGTCAGTCTTTGTTCAAGCCACGATGATACTTCAGGCCAAGTTTTTCCTGGTTTTCATACAGATGCTAGGCCAAAAAAAAATTAGATTAGAAGAAACCAAAACAAACATTGGTGCTTAGTTTATGTATTGCTTTATCTCATTTGCAGCCTGGTGAAATTTGTCGACCTGCTTAAAGTTGTGTCTGGCTTTTACAGCCTAGATAGGAAAACTGAGCCCTTAAATGTTTTGACACTGAAATACAGGCACATCTCAGATTTTCTTCTGGGAGAAATTGAAATGGGACTGCATTACAGGCAGGAGACCAACACTCCACCTGAGCAAAAGGGTTTTAACCCGTCTTACTCTGCCCATTTCTTTGATGAACACTGCATTCTCTCTATTAGTATTTAGTAAAACAATTTTTATGTTTTGCTGTAACCTAGACATGGCAATGCAGCACTAAAAGACCCTTGAATTGTTGTGTCCAAAGCTTCAAAATGTAGGAAGTCTTATGGTAATTGTCTGATTGCTGGATCCCTTGCTGCTATAGTTTGTTAATAATCACCCAGTGGGTTACTTTAAACTTGATCTGTAAGAAAAACCTGCCACATCACATCTATACTATCACAGGAAAAATGAGAATAGGAGAATAAAGTGCGGAAAAAATATATTAGTATTTTAAAATAAAATTCCCTTTTTAAAGGTTATTTTGAAATTTGTCTACTATCAACACTGAATCATTTTACTTTTATTTCCTGTAGCAAATTTTCACTGCTCAATTAGTGAAATGTACAAAAATAAGTAAATTATGGATTAATAAATTAATTGCTGAGCTGTAAAATTACTAAAAAACAATACTTTAACTTATACTCTGAGGTTTTCTAATATACTAGTGCCCCTTTAATAGCTTAAAATTTTCTGTTAATCTTTGGAATGTCTCGGAACTGTGTCTTGTGTCAAGCTATATTATGTTATCTTAATAACACCAAGTATTTGTCAAGTACTGCAGAGATAACTGTGACATTCTTTGTTACATGATCAGAGAGCACAAAATAGTTTTATTTTATCTTGCAGAATGGAACCAACTTTGGATAATGAGAAGTTTTACAGACCATCCTATATTGCTAGCATTGAGCCATCTCCAAGAGCAGGACCAGTAAGTGTAGAAGATATTAAAACAGACCTCTCCTCTGAATTTTCTTTGGTTTCTTCAGGCTCGGACACAAGCCAGGTAAGAAAACTTTACTGTTTGGATATTTATTTTTTAAAGCATAAGCTTAGTTCTTTCATAGAGAAGAATAGTCAGAATTTTACAGAGAAGCTTCTTTGGCTTTTTTTTAGTTTGAAATAGATGCATAGGATTTAGACAGAGTTGTGTGGCACGGCATTAATGACCTATTGGGCATATCAGTTTTCTGTGAATGAGGCTGATTGCCAGTTCATAGAATGTTTTTATTGGCCTGAATGCAGTGTTTACATAAATGCACTGCAAGAGCTGCAAGATTAACTTATCGTAGCAAGCTTCTGCAGGTCCTTAAGCATTTGTAAAAGCTGATTTAGTGAAGTAGTTTTGATTCCCATGTTATCAAATAAGTCTGTTCAGAACAGCCTGATGAAATAAAACCGTTTTCATGTGCTAATTGTTGAGAAAATAACCAAATTTCTAACTGTTTTAATTTTATTTATTTATTTTTTTAAGAGGAGCAGTTTGGAGTCTAAGGGACACATACAAGTTTGCCTACGTATCCGGCCATTCACATCACTGGAAAGAGAAAATGGATCACAGGTGTGACGTTTATTTAGTTTAAAAATATTTAAAATTTGTTTTGTGGGGGTTTTTTGTTTGTTTTTCCTGTGACCTGAGCTCTTCATAGTCTCTTCATGCCTGCATTGTTTGTTTCCTTTTAACAGGACTGTGTTTCACTTGAAGACTCAACAAACATTATACTGAAACCCCCCCAACACTACTTGAATCGACTGAGTGAAAAAGCTTCAGGACCAATGTTACAGAAGTTCACTTTTTCTCACGTAAATGACTTGCATTTAAATGTTTTTAAATTATTTCTGGTACAGGTTGTTTTAACTTATGTTATTGAATACCAAGAAAACTGTATTTTTTAACTTTATAGTTTTTAAGATTATAAACTAACAGAATTCAAAAGATTCTTTAAAAGTCTCTAATAATTGCTCCAAATATGTAAATATTTCTTGGTGATACTCAGGTGTTTGGACCTGAAACAACCCAAGAGGAATTCTTTGAAGGTACCATGAAGCAACCAGTGCAAGATTTCCTAGATGGATATAATCGTCTTGTTTTTACATATGGTGTAACAAATGCTGGGAAAACTTACACTTTCCAAGGTAAAAGTCAAAATGAGTTCTTCTTGCAGCCACTTTCTTTATTTTTTTTAAAGTAAGGATTATTTCTAGTAGAAACGTAACTTCTTCCTTCACTTAAAATGTAGTCTCTATCCATTTGATTCTCTTGAATATTAATAGTCTTCTAAAATCTCCTTCCATAATAAATTTAACTGCCAGCAGACAGTCACTACCTGAGTTAACCTAAACACAGTCATATTACTTTGTAAGGCTCTATAGTTTCAACCAGGTATGTATGATCTTACTACTTTTCTCCAAGTATCTTGTACCCCAGGAATGAGGGGGAGTTGGAAAAAATATATATTCTATGTAACAGTTTTGAAAAGTCTAAGTCACTCCACACCAGACTAGCATTTTCTCGAGTTTTATTATTATTATAAAGGTTATATTTGCAAATAAGAAATAATATTTGAGTATTTTAATTATTATAGAGAAGAAATGTTTTGAAACGTTTTACTTATTATTTTCTTATATTTCTGTCTTGGCTAGAGTTCCCAAGCTTAATAATAACCTGGGAAGCCTTGTCTCCTGGTTCACTATTTCTGTTCTGTTAAAGCTTCATATCCTTTGTGATCAGATGATGTCATTCTTCAGTTATTTTTCAAAGTATTTTAACAAATGAGGTGATTTGATTCACATTGAAAATGTTTCTCCTATAATTAAATGACAAATCTCGATGCAATACCAGTTATTTTATAAAAATAGTAGAAGGACAATGAATTGTGTCTCTTGAAACTGATCTTTATTGAAGAGACATTATTTTCTAAGCAATCTTCTGTTAGTTGGATTATAATTAAAGATTACTGCCAGAACTTCGAGTTATCATTTGTCTGGGGAAAGAATGGGATGTTCTCTTCTGTACTAGTGAAGGTAAATCACAAAACCCAAACAATTTCATGTGTGTACGGTCCCCTGAGCTTGATTAGTTGGGAGTATATTGTGTGGGGTTTCAAGAATTTTTGATTGACACTTTTTAGACTAGAAGCTTTTTTTGTGGTATTATATTTTTAGGACTTTGTATCTCTAACAGTGTCTTTATATCTATAACAGTAGTTATAGATACAATACCATGAAAGTAGGCACAGCATAATGTTGCCTATTGGGCACCATGATTTACTCTTCTGTGGTTGCACTTTAGCA